ACATATGAGGATCATGGAAAGGCAAAGGTATGACCGTACACATCTATATATTATGTTGTTGATCCTGGGAAACTCTGTTTTGAACAATGATTTGAAAAGAATGGTTTTGTAGACACTTTTATTTGTAAATGGGTTCATGGTTTTGTAGACAATTTTATTTGTAAATGGGTTGATTCAAAAAGTTTAAATTGGTTATGGTTTTTGAGATGGTACATTTGAAAACCCTAATGTCAAGAAAACTCTAAATTTGGAGTTTTGTCGGGACTCACGTTAAACTATTAATTGAACTTTAAATTATAATCGATAATGCCCTATGATTAACTTAATGCAGTATTGGACTTAAGGAATTAAGTCCTTAAGGGGTTAAGTGTGGAACACTAACCCTAGTTATCATTTTATGTGGAAATCCTAAAAATCGGGAAGCCCTATTTTGGGCAATGATCGGGGCATGTAATTGGGCTATTTCTTGGATTATTATTATACTTGAGAATGACTATGTTAAATCTTAATCAGTCCTACCCTTAGGTGGTTAAGTCCTTAACGGGTTAAGTGTTCTTACTTAACCCTAATCGTCATATTATGTGGAACCATAATCGTCATTTCATGTGATGTAGTCACAGTTGCAAGTGACTGTGACATGTGGTTGTGAAATTACTCAAGTATCTTTCTGTAGGTGTTGGAAGTGAGTTGAAGCTAGTAGAGTTCTTCTTTTCTACGGTAGTGAGCTACGCACATATCGAGGTGATTTTCGCCTCACTGTACCTGTGGGTTAAAGGCACCAATGACGGACCACTAATTTTGACAATCTCTTAGTAGAGGGATTCCTTAGGGACTACATATAATCATGTAGGATAGACTGAGGACTCTTGATCTAAGCTCTCTTGTTCCTTGTTTGGTTGTGGTTCTAGCGTAGGATCACCTAACCGGGTGACTATCCCACCTCTGAGTATATACAACCATGTATTCCATTCCTTAGATTATTGATATTTAGTATGCTACTATGTTGTCGTGATCTGTTATATCTATTTCCTGTTATCGATTATGCTGCTATGATGTAGTGATCTGTTAGATCTGTATCATGGTATCGAGTATGTTGCTATATTGTAGTGATCTGTTAGACCTGTATGCTGGTATCGAGTATATTGCTTTGTTGTAATAATCTGTAGAACTATATGTTATTTGTGCTTGCTGGTTATCATCCATGGAGTGCCCTTAGGGACTATTTGTGGTCATGTAGGATAGCTTGAGAACTCTTGATCCAATATTTCTTGCCTGTTCCTTGTTTGGTTGTGACTCTAGAGTAGGATCATTTTTTCAGGTGACTATTTTACCTTTGGTTACTTATGGTTATGCATTTCATGGAGTTTAGTTGGTAGTGGGATTGTATGCTGTGAGAGGACTAGTAGGCAGTAGTGAGTTGTATGATTGATGTTGCCTGTATTATGTGCCTACTTCATCCTTGATTGTTTACATGTCGACATGTTGTGTTTGGTTTGGGGTTGAGGCGGTCCTGCTTTGTGCTATAGGCCAAAGATACCTGGTGTGGGTCGATTGTAAGCCGTACGAATGGAGGCTCGGGATGAGTGGTTGGGTTGAGGTGCTAAGGCCAATAAACCCGATATAGTTGGTCATTCTAGTCCGATGACTGATTGGGCCCACTGCTCGTTTATTTGTTTAGTTATGTGTGGTATTTTGGGGGAAACTCACTAAGCTTTATGCTTATCTGGTTGTTTATTGTTTTAGGTATCATCAATGTCTATGGGAAGGCGAAGTGGGACTATACACACTCGTTAGTAGCATTAAGGATTAAGCGTTTTCTACAATACTCTGATTTTAAATAAATGTAATGTGGAATAAATGTTTTTTTCTTAATAATTGATTTATAAATTGGAAAGTTTGACCTAAATAAAAATGAAAAATATTGGGTTGTGAAAAATGGGACGTTACAAGTTGGTATCAGATCCCTGGTTCGAGTGAATTGGAGAAACACGTGTGTGAATCCAGTCTTAAACTGGGATCTGTGAGTTTTTTCAAAATCTTTTTGAAAGAAATAATTTATAATAAGTTGGTTGGGCTAAGGACATGGACGCAGTCTTTTTTCATGCTCTTGTTTTATTGTTGGCTTAGGATCGGGAAAGTGGACCTTGACTTAACTTTGGCTTTTTTAGGAAGATTTGGTGTGTATAGTCAACCAAAGCCCGAACATGAGAGTTGTTCCCAAAACACCCATATTGTTATGTTTGGTGAGTTTTGATTTTGCTGATAGATGAATTGTTAGAAAAGCATGCTAGTGGATAAGGTTATTTTAGAAAATGTTGGATAGTAATGCCGGATTTTTGTAATGCCTTTTGATATAGGGAGTTGCTTACCAGATATAAGCTTTTGGTTGTGTAATTGTTGCAAGTATGTTGATTAGTTGTATATGGTCTGGAATGAATAGCCTTAGAGTGATTGACTTGGCCTTACTTCCTGTTCCTTGTTTGGTTGTGGATTTAGGGAAGATTTGATTATTTAATAGTCCATCTGACACTGTATTATGTATAATAAGCATGCAAAAAAGCAACCAATGGTGCAGGAGCGAGGGTAATCTTAAGAAGAGTGCTTAGGAAGTTAGTTGTAGCTCGCACACATATGATTGTTTGCTATGTCTAATAGTGAAAAACATAGATAGGAAATTAGGGTTGCATGCACACATATGATTGTTTGCTATGTATAAAACCCATCACTTAGGGTTTGGTGTTGTGCCTCTTTTAGCCATGCAAAGGTGTTAAGTCAGATAATTTATCACTTAGGATGTTCATTAGGTCTAGATCTGAAAATTGATGTTTAGTCCTTATGTATTAAGAGCTTAATGTGAAGTTGGAAAAATAGTGTAATTACGTTGGGCATAATTTAGGCTACACTTAGCTTAGCCTGAATTGTTCCCGTTTCCCATCAGAGGCTCTACGCTAGGCGTAGGGCATAGTGTACGTTGGGCGTAGCACCGAAAGGGTGATTTTGGACAAAATGGATATTAGGTCGATTGGAGTGGGTTCTAATCTTAGAAGGGTAAAATGGTCTTTTACCCCAAGTGCAGCATCTATGAACCAAGACCATCGAGTGTGAATTATTAACTTAATTTTTATTAGGGTCTTATTATGTAATGATTAGTGTAGGGAGTTCCAGTATCAAAATCTCGAGTGTAATATTTGTATGTCTTCAAATTGAGGCGTGTCTTCTCACTTTACTATATAGGATGCTAGTTGTCTTTGTGACTATTGCATGTGTATGTTGGCATGAGCTCACTTTTTATATGTAAGGCTAGGTCTGGTCAGTTAATCACGTCGAGATCTCGGAGGGATAGCGTTTCAATGGTGTTTGCAAAATATCGGTTTCAAATAGCATTCTAAAATATCGGAGCTGAGATTATCGCCGATATCAGCCGGTATCGACCGCTATTTCATCGATATTTCAATACCGGTATCCCAGTTTTTTCCCGTTATTTGATTTTTTTGGGTCTTTTATATAGATTTATAAAAAAAAGTACTTTGATATGGATTAGCTCACAACTTGTAATATTATAATTCCAATCTCCTTTTTTAACGTTGTGACCTAATCTGAACTCGAATGAAACCAGATGGAAACAATTTGGAACAAACAAATATATAAAAACTTTTAGTTTGTAATTAAACCTTGGTTAATGCAACTAATTTGCAATTATAATCAAACCTCATTTATGCATTTAATTTGTAACTCTTTTTGTGCAACATGTTATAGTTTTACCTTGTAAACCGGTTACTTTTGTGATTATATATATATATATATATATATATATATATATATGGCTTGAAGAATATGTGGCTGCTATGTATCTAATATTAGATATAAAACTATAAAAAACAAAATTCAATCAAATATCTCTACCATATTTCTTGTATACTCTACTAGATCTTATGTTAGACTTTGTATATATTTTTTAGAGAGTTTTATAAGTTTAATTTTGCACTACAAATTGCATATAAAAACATTTTACCAACTACATGTAGTTTGATATATTGAAATTTATTACAAAAAACTATTGTTAAAGATTGAAATTGTTCAATAAAAACTTGATAAACCTCTTCCCGTAGTCCATCAAAAAAAAAAAAACAATGCAAGTATACATATAGTAGGTGTAGGGGAAAGTTATGAAGCTTCTACTAGAGGTTTAATAAAAAACACATTTGAAATACATAGATGTTAGTGATAAATTACAAAATAAAAAATAATATGAGTTCAGAAGCAATATACAAAGAAGCTAACAATGAAATAAAATTGTGTTTTTTTTATTATTAAAATGAAGTCAATTTAAATGGTTCTATACCTAATATATTACATATATAATAGCTACATATTCATTTTTCATATATATATATATATATATATATATATATATATATATATATATATATATATATATATATATATATATATATATAATTTTTAAAAACCCCAATTACACTGTGAGAACCATTATTTTAAATCACGGTAAGTAAACACTAAGATTTTATACCGAGATAACAGCATAGGGTTGGGCTATTTATATGAATGTTGAGCTGACTCATTTGTATAATTGGGCTGAGTATATTTGTTTAATTTTATAGGATTTTTAAATCTATTGAGTATATTTGTTTCATGAATTTTGTAGGATTTTGAAGAAATTAAAAAGGAAACTTCATAAAAATCGTGTTTGGTTTACAAAATTTATTAATAAATTTCTATGAAATTGAATTAAATTCTTATGATTCATCGAGATAAATCCAAAAAATTAAACGAATTTATAGAAGAATTGAAGTTCCATTCCTTATTTCCTTACCCCTGTTAAAAAAAAAAAAAAATTTCACATAAAACCTACGTCTCTCTTGTCTGCGATTGCTCGGCTCCCGCCATACACAACCATACGCTTCTTCACTCCTTAAAAACCTTTGCGGAAGACTCCAAGACTGTCCTTTTCAATGGCAAACCTTTTGTTGAATCACCCGATGATGATTGCGCAGACATCAAAAGCGCCCATGACGATGACAAACCTTTTCTTGAACGCTGCGCAGGCACCGAAACCCCCAATGGCGACGACAGCAAACCTTTTGTTGACCCCCCCGCTTTTGTTGATCCCCCCGCTAATGATCAGTGCCCTAAAATACACTCAACAGCGTCCTTCTCTCTTTCAAAGGGGTTTCTCTAATACTTGTCGCTCTAAAAAGAGTTTCTCATATACTCCGCCAACATCCTCTTCCTCGCGCCCTCTGTCTCTTCGTCTTTCTTCGAACCATGCTGCAGTGCCCATCACTCCAGTCCTTAAAAAGGTCAACCGAAATACTTTTTCTTTTTCTTTTTCATATGCATGCATGCTGCATCTCCTAATCTTATGCAGTCATATACACCATGTTCTTTCTCTTAGGTTCTGTTTTTCTTTTCACGATTTTCCGCATCCAGGAAAATAACGGTTTTGGTGGCAACATGAACTGCGCTGATTTTTGGGGCCCTTTGTCGGGTTGGGATGATGTGGTGCAAAAGGGTACAAAGGTTCGTGGACTGTATTTTTATTGTTAAATTAATCTGTTCTGCATGAATTTGCGTTTTAGGTGCATAATTCTCGCCAATATTTGTTTCATGGTATATAGTATAATCAGGTGATTTGTAGCAGCCAATTTTTGACTTCGTACATTCATAAAAGTCAAAATCCTACTCTCTGTCTAGTGAAGGGAATTGGTTTTGAATTCCAAAAACTAACAAGAATAATGTTGATTGTAGACAGTTATGATAATTATAGTTTGTAAAGTTAAATGTTTGAATTTCTAGAATCAAAACTTTTGGAGTTTTGGGACATGGGTACTTTATATATATATATATAAGGTTAGGTTCATGTGAGACGGCCTAATTTTGTAAGATCGTGAGACGCATTTTTTTATTTTTTTAAAATTTTTTTTAGTTAATTCAAGTTTCGAAAATAATATTTAAAAATAGATTTTTTTGAATTTTCTATTTATTTTGCATTTTAAAATTATTTTTAGAATATGTACAGTGTAATATATTCTATTTAGAATATTTCACGTATTTTAAAAAAAAAGGATTTTTTTTATTATTATTTTTATTTTTTTTAATTAATTCGAGTTCCGAAAATAATATTTAAAAAAAAAGAATTTTTAGATTTTTGCATTTTAAAATTATTTTTTAGAATATATCAGTGTAATATTCTATTTAGAATATTTTATGTATTAGAATAGTCTCAAATGAACCTGAACCTATATATATATATATATATATATATATGACTTATATATACCGTTGCATTACTGATTATCTGCAACACCTGTGAAGTTTGTGTGTCAATGGGTGGCCAAAGAGGACAATACTAGTGTTGTTGCAGAGACCGAAGATGGTATGCAATTTTTTTCTTTAATGTGTGATTACATTGACAACAGAAATTCATTGCATAATTTTCTTGAGTTACATTGCAGACACACAAGAGGCGAAAAGAAAAACTCCTAAAACAACAAGGATGTCTGATGGCAAATTGAGTCGAAAGATATACATGGTTATGGTCGGAGTTTCTTTTTGTGCACTTGTAGCATTTGTACCAAAACAACAAGCATCATGTTGCATAGTTGCCTCCGAGCATTTATCCAGAGCAATGAAGGACATCTTTTTTTGTGCCCTCTTGGTCTGCCCATTGACACGGCAGCTTTCATACGACTCGATGAAAATGTTCGTGTTTAACCTGTTTGTTATAGCCCCTGCCTGGATTAATATCTGGCAATTTTGGTATTACCATAAGGGTTTGCAAAGTTCTGAAGAAATTAAAAATAGAAAACCGAGTAAGAAACAATCCATAACTTTTGATGACGTGGAAGGAGTTGATGCTGCCAAAGCTGAACTTCTCGAGGTAGTTTACTAATTTGTCCCCTTTCCTTATTATGACATGGGATATGAATGATGAAAGAGATTAATCCTACATGAGTGTTGAACTTTTGTAGATTGTCTTATGCATTAAAGGAGATAGTAGATATATGAAACTTGGGGCAAAGTTACCACGGGGGGTTCTGCTTGCGGGTCCCCCGGGAACCGGAAAAACATTGTTGGCCCGTGCGGTGGCCGGAGAAGCTGACGTGACGTTTTTCTCGATGTCTGCTAGTGAATTTGTGGAGGTTTTTGCTGGTAAAGGGGCTGCCCGTGTTCGAAATCTTTTCCAAGAGGCGAGAAAACATTCACCGTCTATTATTTTCATTGATGAGATAGATTCTGTTGGAGGGCAACGTGGAAATACTATGAATTCTGAACGTGACCAGACTTTAAACCAGGTAAATATAATTTTAATTTAATGCTCATGGCCAAAGTTAAACAATGAAATTGTTGACATGAAATGTGGTCTTTAATGTGGTAGCTTTTGACTGAGATGGATGGATTTGAGAAGGGTGCAAGTGTGGTGGTTATGGCTGCTACTAACAGACCCGAGTTACTGGATTCTGCTTTGATGAGACCGGGTCGGTTTTCTAGGAAAGTGGTTGTGGGTAAACCGGATGAAGATGGAAGGAGAAAGATTTTTGCTTTATATTTACAGAAGGTGCCCATGAAGGAGGACAAACAAGTCATTTGTGACCTTGTTGCTTCACGTACACCAGGGTTAGTTGGGGCTGATCTTGAAAATATAGCTAATGAAGCTGTATTGCTTGCTGCTCGTAGAGGTTTGTTCAATACTTAACATTAAGTACTGTTTAGACATAGCAATGTGTTGATTATGATTGGGTATGTTATTAGGTGTTGATTTTGTGACCAAGGAGGATGTTCTTCAAGCTGTTGAGAGAGCAACAACGAAGATTTATAATGATGATACTACCAATAAAGCTAACTCACCGTATTTGTTTGGAGAAATGGCACTAGAAAGCGTGCATGCCGGGGGATGTTAATTTCGAACTAATCATCAATAGGATTCATTCAAGATGGCGCATTCGATTTTGGTTTTTTTTTTTTTTTTTTTTTTTTTTTTTTAAGATTTCGTGTTTCTTGTAAGTATATAGATCTTTTGGCAAAAGTGGATATAGATTTTGTGTAAGTTCGGCTGAATTTAACCAAATTGGCTAAAATTATTGCAAATGTTTATTTTTTTGGGATGAGAATGTATTAATATAAAGTTTGAAGGTTATGAAGAGGGTATTTTGGCATAAGCGATCCCATAGGGATATATTCAATTATATTTATACAGGTACAATCACAACATAGAGATAAGGACTAGATCCTGATTGATTGGATCTAATTTTTACGATACAACATTTGAATCATACTAATCTCTCTATTAGGTACCTGTTTTACATTCCCCCTTAATCTTAACCGTAACAAGTATCATATTTTATCTTAGACGATCTAACATGAATCCACCGGCTACTTATCACTTGACGATATAAAACGAACATCAAAAGTGCCCATTGCTACATTATCACAAACAAAAAGAAAATCCACCACTATGTGTTTTGTACGTGCATGAAACACAAGATTGTCTGTTAGATAAGTTACTCCTAGATTATTGCACCACAAGACTGATGGTCGGGGGTGTCAGACACTCAACTCTTTAAGAAAAGATTACACCCATGTTGCTTCTACAGTACCATTAGCTAAGGCCTTGTATTCAACTTCTGTACTTGATGTACTCGATCTGGACACTGTAGGTTGCTTGTGAGAACTCTAAGAAATCAGATGTAGCCCTACGAATACAACAAAACCTATAGTAGACCTTCGATAATCTAAACATCCTGCCCAATCAATATTTGTAAACACACTTGGAAGTGTAGAATTAGACCATCGACTGTGTAGCCTTGTAGTCATCGTGCCTTTTACATATCTTAGAATTCTCTTGACCACTTCCCAATGGATATCTGTGGGTATGGAAGATATTAACATACTTTGCTAACATCAAATGAAATGTCAAGTCGTGCTAAAGTAAGATATTGTAGACCGCCAACCATACTTCTATATTTAAAAGCATCATCTTCTCCAAGGGCTTTGCCATAATGTTGGTCCACTTTATAAGTGACAAACATCGGGGTTGAAACACTTTTACAATTCACCATATTAGCATGATGATGTTGTAAATCATTAGCATACTTATGTTGCATCAAGGTGATTCTCCCTGAATTGTGAACAACTTCAATCCCAAGAAGTAATTTAGTCGATCAAGATCCTTAATTGGAAAGGAAGAAGATAATACACAGATCAATTTATCAACTATTGTTTGAGAAGACCTCGCAATGACAATGTCATCGACATAAACCAACATGTAGATAGTAATATCTCGATGATGAAATATGAATAGGGAAGTGTCGGCTTTGGAAGAGCGAAAACCAAGCTGGTAGAGGTTATCACTAAGCTGAGAAAACCACGAACCCGGAGACTACTTAGACCACAAATTGCCATTTTTTTTAAAAAATTTGCACACGTATTGAGGTCGTTGAGGACTTTCAAAAATTGGTGGTTGCTGCATATAGACTTCTTCATTTAAAGATCCATGGAGAAAAGTACTACTGACATCAATTTGACGAAGGTGCCGACCTCGAGAAACGACCAATGAGAGTATTAGGGGAACTATGGCTAGTTTTACAACTAGACTAAAGGTGTAATGGTAATCAATTTCCATCGCGTTGAGTAAAGCCAAGATAAACCTAATGTGCCTTATTCTTGTCAATATACCCATCTGGATGTTATTTAAGTTTGAAAATGCACTTAGAACCAACTAGATTAACACCAAGTCATCGAGGAACTAAAGCCCATGTGTTATTTTGCTGAAGAGCATCAAATTCTACCTCCTTGGCTTTACACTAGGCCAACTCAGAAAGGGCCAGTCAATGGGAAGCGGGTACTTATTTTGTATTGGATTGGGCCTGCCCATCTAGGTTTATTATTGCTAGGGTTTGACTATTTATTGTGTATGCATGTATCGTTCTAGGGTTATCAGTTGTTGTTGGGTACATTAACCTTGTGACATTAACCTTGTGACATGAGATAGAGAGCGAGAGAGAGAGAGGCATGTAAACACCTCTATATAAGGTGGGTTCATACCACTTATGGAGATGTGCTTGAGAGATGTAACATTGAGCGTGTGTGTCTGTTATTTATGTAGATTTAGATCTAGATCATTTTTTTCTATAACACCATACATAATCAAATTCTTCTCTTAAACACCCAAATCATCGTGTTCCATTGTGTGTTATTTAATTCCGCATGCCAAACAATTGTTCATAATTCACTACATTTGGTATCAGAGTGGGTCTTCAAAGATCTACACGATTTTTTGAAGAAATGATTCTCAGTTTGGCAAAAATTGTCACAATTAGAGCGATTATGGTGAGTCTCTCTCTCTCAATGATCTCTCTTAATCTTGTTGATTCGTGCGTTGCGTTCTTGATTTTTTGATTGTTTTGTCTTAATGATCGAAATTGGTTTTAACCCCATTGATTGATCCATTTATTGTTGCTTAGATCAAAAGTTCATAAATAAAATCAAATTCCAAAATTTTTTCGAAGTTACTGTTCAATGTTCATGAGCCAAAATTGATCCAAATTCCATTATCTGTTACTATTCACGTATTTTGAGCCTAAAATCAAAATTTGAATATTGTTCATGATCGTTTGAGCCCATAAAAGTTTTGAGTACTGTTCATCTGAAGCCCAATTCATGATACAAGTTAATTTGCTCCGGTTTGTTTTTTCATATATCTCGAGTGTAATTGATCTGTTTGTTCCATCTACTCATTCGATTCAAGATTAATATTCACAATGTTTTACATAACTTCAAGAATCGACTGATTGGTGATTCAATCCAATTTTGTTGTGATCATATTTTCAAATCTGTTCATTTCGTATCTTCCGAATTTCATTTTAATCTGATTTGAGATAATCGAAATCGACTTGAATGATGATATCAATTCTTCATGCTTAATGATTGAATAAATGGTTGAATATCTTCTTGGCTAGTCAAATGAAGTTCTTGAAGAAGGATAAAGAGTCAAATAAGAAAAGTCAAAGTTTGATTCTTATGAGTCTAGGATTTGAAATCAATTAGGTTTTGAATGTCGAGATGTGATTGGTAATTTTGACATGTGAATCGAAATTGAACGCATTCTTTGGTTCATGTATTTGACTAATCGTTCGATGTGCTAACTGTCATTTCAAAGTTTGAACAACTTGATTTCGTTTTTGGGTTATACGAGTAATTCGATAGCTAGGATTAAGATGATGGCGATTTTGGAATCAATCGATGTTTCGAAGACTGAGTATACCGACATCAATGGATTAATTTTGGTTGATGGTTATAGTCTGATTTCGAAGGTTTGATATTGACTAGAATTGAATCCTTGAAGTTCAATTGAGGAAGGATTGGAATCGAACAAAAAATGAATTGGGATTGAAAAATCAAAGTATTGTGGTTCAAATGATAAGTTTAATGATCGAAGTTATGAATTTGCTTGAGGTTTAATGTTGATGATGAAGCATGGGAAGATCGATTGGAAAGTTAATGGTTCATCATTTGGTTCACTTGGGAAGTTGGTTTGAAGGTTTGATAATGAAAATCAAAGACTTGGACAAAAGTGAAGATTGGGTTTTGATGATATTTTCGAAGGTCTTGGTGATTACGGGATTAACGAAAGTATTGTGAAATTCGTTACCGGGTAACAAATGGAGAAGGATAGTGGAACGTTTCGAAAATACCCCTTGAAGTTTTGAATGTTTGTCACTTTTTAACCCATTTCGAAAGATAAAACTGCAAATTTGGTCCTTGTGGTATTTAAAAAAACTTTAGATAGGATCTAAAAAGTTTTCAGCTTGCATGAAAGGTCCAAAGTCAAGTTTTATCTAGGTTTTTGGTCGAAAAAAAAAACTTAACAAGATGGTTATGTCCTTTTTGATTTCTTTTTTTCATTTTTCTAGAAGTATTTTAATGCTTTTTTGATTTAAAAAAAAAGAATTTATCACCCCCACCACACTCTCTCTCTCTCTCTCTCACTCTCTCTCACACACACACACATACACAACCTTTTCTATTCATATCTTCTTCCCCATCCTTCATCTTAAACCCATCTTGCTTATCTTCCATAAATTAGAGACGACACAACATCGCATATACTTCACTTTGTGTAGAATTTTCAATCTGTTCACTTCATGCTTCTTCCCCATCGTGTTTCTTCACCTCGGATTTCTTCTCTGAGATCGACTAAGATCAAATTAGTGATTCCAGCTCCAATGGTGTGCATCAGGAACAAATCTGATTAAGGTCGATGAGGGTTCCTCTGTCCACGCTTAGAGGAGAACAATATTAGGAATTTCATTGTCTGATTTTAGAGTAGATGGATTTGAATGCATGTTCGGTGGAATACCCTCTCGCAAATCCCTCTTTGACAGCTGCTAACCCACATCTGTACTTAAACATTTTACTCTCAACTCCCTGTCTGTGGTATTATCCAGTTCTCCCTTATCTCACCGAAAACTGATCCGCAGGTATGATTTGTAGGTTTCATCTTCTCTTCATATTTCAATTTCAATAGCAATACGGACCCAATTTCAGGACTTGAAATCTCCTCTCCTTCATTCGAATTCCCCTGCTCTAATTCCACTTCCAACCTCTTCATCAATTCCTCCATTTTCTTCTACTTCTTTTCCACCAGAGCTTTCTTTACCTTTCCCGAAGTCAGTATTGTTGCCGCCACTGGCGGTGAAATGTTCACAACATTCACCATCGGAAAATTCCACAAATTCCCTTCATCACCATTCTTCAATGCCCTCACTCTATTCCTCCTTCCGAAACCAAAATTAAACTCCAAATTATAACCAAATCCGAGCCCCATTGGGTACGCATAACAAGTTTTCAAATTTAGAGAGAAGTTATTAGATGATTTGTAGTTTTGGATTGTGGATTTCGAGCTCCCCATGATGTCAAAGGTGGGTTAGAAGAAGGAGAGAAAAGAGAGAGGGGGTGGGTGGGTGGGAGTGGCGGGCAATTTTTTCTTTTCTTTTTATTTTTAAAGTAAAAAATACAAAAAAAAGTATTAGAATAATTATAGAAAATACAAAAAGAAAACAAAAGGGCATAACCGTCTTTTCAAGTTTTTTTGGACCAAATTCACAAGAAGTTTTTGATTTTGGACCTTCCATGCAAGTTGAAAACTCTTTGGACCTTATCCAAAGTTTTTCGCAAACCACAAGGACCAATTTTACAGTCTTGTCCATTTCGAAATAAGGAGGTAATTTCATAAGTTTGAAGTTGTGGGTAGACTTTTCAAAATCAGTACCTAAAGTTTCGAATGTTTGACATCTTATGCCCACCTTCGAAAGTTGAATAATTTTGGACATTTTGGGATAAAATACAGAAATTTCGAAAGCAGTCCCTGAAGTTTCGAAACTTTGGCTGTTAATACCCAATTTCGAAATTGGATTGATTTTGCTGAGAAATTGAAGAATATGCATTTCAGGCCCCTACAATTAATGCGAATTGATGCTTTCTACCTAGTTTCGCAAATGGGGAGAGTTTCCTATTTTTGGCTGTTTTGGGCACACCGGTCAGTGCAAAATTTTGAAATTGACAATTTCTACCAATTTTTGAGAAATTTTGTCAAAGACTGTCCGTGAACGAAACTAAAAATAGAAGATTTTTTTGGATTTTCCGGATCGAAGCAAAAGGTTTATGCCACAAGTTAAGGGGGAGTTTTGGCAGGAAAATTCCGAATAGAGCATATTCTCTTTCCTTGTTGGTTTTATAATCAAATTTCCCGATTATAAAAGGGGGAGAAATTTATATGGAAATTCGAAAGTTGAATTTTTCATAAGGCTGAAGTGACCTTGAGTATTGGATGTTAATGAAATGATTCGGTTGGAGATTCGGAAGTGATTTCGGTTCATGATGGGTTTGGACTTATTGAAGATTTTTGGGGTGTGTTTTTATGCTCAACTTTAGGGTGATTAATTGGAGTTTGAGAAGCTCTTCATTATCCGTTGATGCTTGGTTCGTATAGTTTCACATCCTAGAGCCCAAAATTAAAGATTTGTGGTTGATCTTTACATATGTCACGCTTGAGGCTCGTTCGCGTAGTTGCTTGATTTTGGAAGATTTGAAATGGGTCATCCATTCCTAACTTTGAGGGGGAGAATGTTGGGTATAAAGTTATCCATGTATGACTTTGTAAATGGGTTGAATTTTGTAGACCCAGTTGCATGTGGTGCATTAGCCTTGTGACATGAGATAGAGAGTGAGAGAGACATGTAAACACCTCTATATAAGGTGGGTCCATACCACTTATAGAGGTGTGCTTGAGAGATGTAACATTGAGTGTGTGTGTATTAATTTTATAGATTTTGATCTAGATCCTTTTTTATGTAACACCATAGAAAAATGAATGCATCTCTTAAACACCAAATCACCGTGTGCATTGTGTGTTCTTTAATTCCGCATGCCAATCCAATGTTCATAATTCGCTATAGTTGTTTTACCCTAATTAGTTTTTATAGAAAAGTTCTCGTTGAACTCTTCTAAAGCTTTAATAATATTAAGCATTTGACACATCTTTGATCAATGTTTTTGTTCTTGATTCATTAAATTGTTTAGAATCTATCGATTTATAATTTTATTGTTTCAACAATGTGTGGTATGTGGTATCTTGGGGAACTCACTAAGATTCATACTTATGGTTTTCAGTTTATGTTTCTGGTATTTCGATTTTTAATGGAAGAGCTCAGGACCGTTTCATGGAACACACCACATGTTTCCGCATTCTATGATTTACTCAGATTCGATGATGTTTTACTAAATCTTGATAACCATTGTTTCATGGAAATGATATGTATTACGATTTATTAATTTATAAATGAAATTTTATGTTATTATTTTTGGGATGTTACATAATAAGTTTTTTAGTAATGTGAATATGTTCAACATCACACAACTATTGTCACTTTCATGCATTTTCACTAATTCTAATTCAATTTTGTTCTCACACATCATTTTTCATTCATTTCCATTCTTACAGAATACAACTCAATAAACATTATTCTAAAAAAATGAGAATAATAATAAAAAGTCTATAATAACCTTATAAACAATTTAATTAGTGAGAATGTGTGATAATGACAATAGTTATGTAAGATTGAACGTATTCATATTATCAAACATCATATTTTCTTTGTCATTCTCACATAATAGCATTTTCAATACGTCTGCACAATAGATGTCAATCCATATTTGAACATCTCTCTCTCTCTCTCTCTCTCTCTCTCCCTCTCTCTCTCTATATATATATATATATGTGTGTGTGTGTGTGTGTGTGTATTTGTGTGTGTGCACGCGCCAAGATCCTCCTTCATGATTATATGCCCCAACGTCTTTCTTCAATGCAGGTTGCACTAACCATCTCTACACTCCTTGAGGACCGACATGGATGTATGACTTTACATTAGGGCCTCGTTTATGGATTAGACTAATGTTGGTAGGTTTTGATAATGAATGACATTGTTATTGAAGAAAGTGATGAATATATGTACATTGTTCTATGCTATGTGGTGGAATCTAGGCATGCTCGTGTTCTTCAATTGTTCGTGAAAATAGATACAGATGTAGAAGCAAAAACAAACAAGGGTTTCACAATAATGGAAACTATAGAGTCACTAAATTACAAGAGTTTTCACTAGAAGAGCTAAACTAAAGATAAATTAGGCATTGAAATAAGCTCAATGAAGAAAATGACTATATGTATAAACCACTTTTCAGTAGCTTTAATTGATTCGTTTCACCGTTGCATGTGATCAGAATAAGGGTGAATTACGATTTTATAGAAAATTACATAACTATCCATGTTGTGTGGGGGTATATTAAATGAACTATTCTTATTGCTATTTTTTTTTTGTACTTGAGTGATCTGGTTGGTATTATCTTGTTTTGTTTTTCATCCCTGACAAATTTAAAAAGATTGTTACCTTTTTAGATTTTGGAATCAATTTTATTATTTTTAATTGTTAAACAAGATTATGCAAGCAGGAACCACCCCCCCCCCCTCTCTCTCTCTCTCTCTCTCTATATATATATATATATATATATATATATATATATATATATATATATATATATATCACACCTCATACCCCACCTTTATTTTTTGGCCAGCGGCATACCACTGACAGAGGTGAGTTTTCCGGTCACCACCGATACTGTTGGAAAATTTAATAAAATTTATGATTTTTTAAAAACTTTGCACATTTAAATATAAATATATATTATATATATTAATAATTTTTAATGGGTTATGTTCTCCTCCGTGAGAGCTTTAATACAACTTATAATGTATCCAAAATGAAGCATGAGTGAATTAGATATCGATACTCAAAGTTGAGTATTTGGAATAAAATTTAGCAAAACAGAGTGTGGGAATGTGTCCCACATAGGGTAAAAAGTAAACTCTCAATGAGTTTATAACCATGGTAGTGTTTATAATGTTGGTATTGTAAAGGGTTCCAAATATGGATTTTACAGACAAAAATAACTGAACTCATGTATCGGCACGACCTGCGGACGAAACGTTGTTGTGAGTGAAGAGTATAAATAAACGATTAAGGGGTGAGTGATAGTTTAATGGTTCATTTAAAACGTGGCATGAGGAGATTAAATAGAACTTGCTAGACAAGTAGCAAGAACTTGCTAGACAAGTAGAAATCGGAGAAGAAAGAAATGTCATGTTTGAAGATATAATAAAGTTGCTGGGACTAAAAATGGTGCAAGCTTCTGAATTACCGGATCGGAATATGTTGGGATAAATCATTATCTATAACATTTTAATCCCAGGGGTATTTTTGGAACCTTCCTTTTACATAGGTTTTGTGTTAGATGATGATACAGTTTTATTAGCATAAATAAGTTCAATGTTTAGGATGTTTTAGTTAAGGAACTGATTCTTACATAATATTACAATTTTAAGTTTTTCTAACAAATTAGACCTTCTTCAGCAAGTAATTATGAGTTCGTTTTTCTTCTTTATATTCCCCTGTTATTCTGTTTCTTTTCTTTGTTTCCTTGGGCATCAAGGTATCATCAGATTGATACCTTACAAAACCTACGTCTCTCTTGAGTCTGCTATTGCTCTGCTCCCGCCATCCATAAACATACGCGCTCCTTCATTCCTTAAAAACCATTGCGTGGCGATGGCAACCCTTTTGTTGAACCACCCGATGATGACTGCACAGATATCAAAAGCCCCCATGACAATGGCAAACCTTTTCTTGAACGCCGCGGAGACGCCAAAACCCTCCATGGCGACGACGCCAAACCTTTTGTTGACCCCTCCGCTTTTGTTGATCCCTCCTGTTACGATCAAGATTCTAGACTCTTCCGGAGTACTCAAGAAAATGGGAGAACTTACAAATATAACACATTAGAGCCTGGAACGTCCTAGATTTCTCTAGGACATCAAAGAATGATTTAGAACATATCATGAAGACTTGTAAATATATGTAACCTGGTAGAATATTCTAGATTAGTCAAGAATATAGGACTAATGTAGTAATATCTAGAAACTTCCCAAGAGGGGGAAGGACAAGTATAAATAGGGAGGAGCTCATTTGCTCCAAACCATTGGAGGTTCTCTTGTATTCTCTTGTGCTCTATAATAGAAGTCTTCTTTCGTTTCTAGAACTTCGAAGCCTTTATTCTCTTGCTTACTTAGTCGTTTATACATCCAAAGGAAGCGTCGTAGCCTGACTTAGTCGAAGTTACACTAAGTGGCACACGGTGATTGTGTTGTCCCGTGACACGTGGTATTAGAGCCAGGTTCGTACAAGCAAGAGATCATGACTACAGAAGCAGGAAGTAGCGAAGTAGCAAACCTACCCCCTGTTGTCGAAGAAAGAGGAAGAAAGTCCAAGAAGAGGGACCAATCGATAGATGCCTTGG